TATTTAAATACAATCAAGTATATTAAGAAGTCCCAAGTTTTCAGTCAGTCTTCTTTTCAAAAGTAGATTCCAGCAAGACCTACCATTTTTATTCACCTGTAGAAACTGTTCAAGATAGAAACTTAAGCAAACCCCCCTCCCCCCAAGAAATCCCAAACAAACCCCACCAAGCTACAAGCTATTTGAATTGAAGACTGCCATCAGCAGCATGAAGCCTTCATATCCCCCATAAATTCTGAGAAGATGTAAGAGATGACAAAGCCCACCTGGTCAAGGCTGTGGCTGCTGCTACTGCACTGTAAAAGGCTCCAGTTTGAAGAGCCAGCCTGCCTGTCAAATGTGGTTCTTCTGTAGGAGCTAACAGCAAAACAGCACATGTACATAGAAAAGGAGGTAAAAACCATCATGGCAAGTGATGGGATCTATTTCCAAGAAAAATACAAAAATATTAAATAGAAAATGATCCCAGCAATCCAGAGTGAAAAACTTGGTAAGAATCATAACAAATGATGGACAGGGATTTAGGAGCGATGGACAAGAACTGAGAAGCACTTCAATAAATAAAGCTACAAAATAAAGGCAAATACCTTTAAAAGCTGCATCCACAGAGGTATCGTTACGGAAAAGGAATGTAACTGCTCATTTAATGGCTCAGGTGAAACCACACCTGGAAAGCATTCATCCAGTCCTGGCAATGGCACGAGAAGAGGAACAGCACACCATGACAATGAAAATGGACACGTGCGTTAGGGAACTGGCTTATATAGGAAAAACAAAAATCTAGAGATTTTGCTCCATTAAGGACTAAAGGGGACATAACTGCAAATGCATTGGGAAGCTGCAAGCTGCAGCTGACACTGCTTAGGGCAATATAAACCAAGTTAGTGGAATAGCAGTTGTAAATTAAGAATAAAAATTAGCATTATTTGACATTTAAAATAGTACAGAGACTGAAGAGAGAATGATCTTATTTTCCTGCACTGGACATTCTTCTATGGTTACATAGTGGATGAATTCCTAGAACCGGTTTACTGTTTTTCCTTCTATTTTCCTTATTCGGTGAGCTCATTGTTAAAAACCAGACGACATCTGCATGTTACTTTGGCCACTGAAGAATGACGTGGTAATTTCAGAATTGTGCTGATGTAATTAAGGCTATATCAAATTATCCTACAGAAACAGCCTGTAGCTCAGTTTAATCATCAAAAAAGTGGCTTTAAGGAATTCTAAGCTAAAAAATAGAGTTAGGTATTTAAAATCTGATGAAAAGTTAGCCCTTGTTCAGGAGAGCATTTTTCTCCTTCAGAAACTGTTTCTCTGTGCTTGTTTTAATTATTTGCAAATAAGCATAAATAAAGCAAATGAGATAGCTGTTCTTTGTGCCACTCACTGACTTATCTGGCTTGATCCCTGTCACATATCACCAGCTTCAACCCTAAATGGTGCTCAAATCAACAGGACTCAATGGTGTTCAAATCCAGGGATGCACCACAGCTTGCATTGGAAAAATCAGATTGCAGGATGAAGATCTCTGAATTTAAGTGCTGGAACCTATGCTAACACACTTCTGTGGACGGCCTACTGTAACAGACACTTAGAAGGGCAGGACTGAACACTTCCTCATGGGGAAAAAAAAAAAAAAGGCACAAAAGAATGGCTATTCAACATCTCAAAACACCTTAAGGGAAATCTGTATACTTTGGAAATAAAAGGGCATTTGTAGTACCAACCTTAAGAAATTAGAGTGTCCAGGTTGGGTTAAAAATCCTCTAGTGCAGCAAAGCGGTCAAGGCTGTAAGGGAGGGCAAGGCTCAGCATCAGTTACAATCCCCAGAGCCTGGCAGGGATAAGGAACAACCTGGAACAGTGTGGAGGCCATACATGGAGCATGTTACAACTACCTAAAAGGAGGTTGTAGTGAGCCTGGTGTTGGTCTGTTCTCCCAAATTACTGATGATAGGACGAGGAGAAATGGCCTCAAGTTGCACCATGGGAAGTTTCAATTGGGTATTAGGAAGAATTTCTTCACTGAGAGAGTGGTTAGGCACTGGAATGGGCTGCCCAGGGAGGTGGTGGAGTCATCATCCCTGGAGGGGTTAAAATAACAAGTGGATGTGGCACTTGAGGCTATGGTCTAGTGGTTAGGGAAATGTTGGGATGAAGGTTGGACTTGATGATTCTAGAGGTCCTTTCCAGCCATAGTGATTCTAAGATTCTGTGCTGCTGCTGCACAGTGATCTAGCTTCACTGCACTAGTGTAGACTGATTTTAGCAGCAAGCCAGAAAGAAAATGTGCTAAGTTTTAAAGAGCTGTTTGCTGTCATCTTCCTCATAAGACCACTTGCACAAGGAACAGAAATCATACAGGAGGATGTAACTGCATTTCTTTCATCTTACTTTCCCTTTATTGTAGTTCCCCTGGTGCAGCATTTATAAGCTGGTTCCTACTTCTCCCCAGAAAGCTTCTTTTGTCTTGCTTGAGAAAGAAAGCAGGTTTAGACTTTATAGCAAGGACCTCAGGGCTCTGAGAAAAGTGCTATAAGTATGATGGAGAGCACAGGAGGCAAGAAGATGGGGAGCCAAAATGACTGTTGTCCTGATCACACTGTGCTGGAGCAGGGTCCCAAAACAGGAAACTCTCACACCTGTCTTAAGAACCATGAGGTTGGCATCAGTATCTCACGTTCCCAAAAATGAAGGCATCTGTTCCTCACCGCAGGGGTGAATTCGCTTTCAATGTGGATTTGCAAGTGTGGACTAACAATGTTTAACTAAGATACTTCAACTTCTAATTGGCTACCCTGCAAATTTCCTAACATGCCATTGCTTCCTCTCATCTACATAGGTAGTGCTTAACTGTCATCTGAAGTTAAATTCACTGCACTGAAAGCCTCACTGCAATGCCTAGAAACGAAAACGTGTGCCAACAAAAATGTTGCGCTGCTTTGCCTTGACGTAGTTTATCACCCTATTCAATTCTGGCAAAAGACTTGGAGGTAGACAAAATTTATTGAAACCAAAAATGAAGTAAATTGCTACAGCAGCCAATTTTTGCCCATCTTAGCTTTGGCAGAATGGCTGATCTCATTCTCTCCTGGAACTTAGGAAACATGTATAAAGTTTTGGAACCGTGAGTGCTTTTTCATGACACATATGCTGAAACACAAGCTAGGCACAACAAAGTAGCTGAGAAGGCATAAGAGCAATTACTGTAACACAAATTTCTCATGTAGTCTAAGGTAAAGTTTCACTTTGAAAAAAAAAATTATGAAATGTCACTGTGGAGCTTCATTTCTCTTCTGGCTCAATTTCAGCAAGATACAGTTGCTTTAAAAATAGAGACTTTAAATTTTCAGAGCTGGTAGTTCGCAGGGAAAACAATCTGAAAAATTCCACATCAAGCAAAGTCCTTTTCTGCTTGTGCACCACCACAAAATCAGGTTCTGCACAGCAAATAAGCTTTGACTGAATCCTGTGCAGTCTCACTGTTGCCAGTGGGTAACGCAGGTGCAGATGACCAACTCTGTGACCAAAACTTGGTACATTTACTGGTACACAAACAGTAACTGAATTCCTTTTATATCTATGTCTCCAAATGTACAAGAGGGAGAAATTCTGCAGAGTAAGATTACGGGTTTCCCCCCAGGCCAAACTACACACTAGCCACCACATAACTTCACCTATGAATGTCCAATTCCTATGTATTTGATGTTACACTGTGAGGAACATGAGTAATTGCTTTACTATTTATTGGCTCATTTTATGGAAGACCAGAGATTCCCTAGTAACTGTTTTGAACAGAAAACAGGACTGAAATTCATGATGGGGGAATTAAATCTTTAGGCACTTTGAGGACTACTATTTTAAAGTGTGCCATCAACAATGAGGTACTGGTGTATCGCCTGAAAATGACCACTGCCAAAATGCTGTGACAGTAACATGCATATGAAACTTTTTGCTTGTACAATATTTGTTAGAGTACAATTCAAAACCATTTTGACCAGAGTGAAGAGCACATTGCACCTTTTACTGTAGCTATATCTGTTTAAAAGCAGCAGCTGCAACAAACAATACAGGCTACCCTTCTTCAGAGTCACAAAGACACACAGTATCCTCAATTTGCTGCCCGAAAAACAACGGCCACTGCAGTCACTCAATCCCAGGACAGGGGTGTGTATCACTGAAGAGAGTCACAGCCTTGAAGTGTCATAGGTTTGACACATCTCTACCATCATTGCACTATTAACAGCAAATACAGTTGGCAAGGCTGAACTAGCACATTATACATTTTACCTTTGTAGTAAAAAAATACATAATCGTCACCTCTGAGATAGCTCGTTTAACAATTGCTGGTCCAAATAAAGACGGACTATTCCAATTTGAGGACTCAGGGTACAATTTTTGAGTTAAAAACTTAAGCAAGCATTCCCGAACAGAAACAGGAACACTCTATCCAAATACACTAAGTCCAGGTAAAATGGTGTTACTAAAAAACAATGAAAAAAACCCAGAATTAACGTGAACACTAGGGAAAACATGGAAGCATAAAAATTATCATCGCTACACAGCATATTCAAAAATCTTCTATGCCTCTTCCTTATTATACTAAATGCATAAGAATGCACTTACGACCGAATTTTCCTTTGTTAATTTCAAAACTACAGACCTTTAATCTGATAAGCAGCTTTGTTTCTTATCGACTCATTTGTAAAAAACACCATCAAGCTTGTGCTCATTAAATATACAGGTATATATAAAAACATACAAAAAGTACAAGATAAATCACATTAAGAAACTTTTACAGTGTAATAGTCCTGATTATTTTATTCTTAAGGGCCAAATTTTTTTGTGCACAGAATCTGTGTGACTGCTCCAGAATTCAGCATAGTGCCACTGCACAGAATTTACCTTTCTGTGCAGTTTGTTAAAAAACCAAAAAAAAACCAAAAAAACCAACCAAACAAAAAACCTTAAAAAACAACACACCACAGGACAAAACATTCTTCTTAAATCAAATTCTATTTGTGAATTCAGCAAAATAATTTCTATAAAATAAAACAGCAAAATATTTAAATAGTATAGGGTGGGCTGTATCTGTTTTGCAGGGGTATTTGGTTTTTAGACAGGTTCCAAAAAAATTACACACATTCAAGTTACCAATTTTCATTTAAATACAGTATTTACTGATGCGTTTCTTGAAGTCTTTAAACAAATGTTTATTCTGGAATAGAGATACCTCAGAATTGTATTTGACTAACCAGTAGTTTCTTTTATAATTAAACCCTGCTTCTAATGTTAAGATTTCCTGTATAATGGATAAAGAGCTAAAAGACAATTCTCGCTTTCAAGTAGAACTGTGAACGAGCAGAAAACCAGCAAGAAGTTAACTTGGTGCAGTGGCACTCACAAGTACTGTGTGATTTTGTTGACTTCCACTTCACTGGGATGCAGTAGAAGGAAAGTGTTAGAAGTTTATCTAACAAGCTCTACCAAAGAAACAAAACAAGCACACCAAATACAGTCTATTATGCTCCAGGCATCCTGGCATAACAAATTTTTGCATATTTGTTTTAAATCTTTTAAATTCTTATTACTGAAAACTAAGTGTTCTTTATCCCACCCAGAGACAGAATTGCCAAACATCAGATGTGAGGAACATATGTGAAATTGAAAACCACTTGTCACATTTTCCCTCCCCATTTTTTAGTCTAGGTGTAAGAAGAAAAAGTTCTGAACACTACAGTTGTCACATTGGGACAACTGCTGTCACTTTTTTTTTCCCCCTCTCATTGGCTACACTAACTTGGTGTGAAGCCATGCTAAATGTTACAGCATAACTATAGCTTCAAAGTGATTAACCTAATACCAGAATGAAAAAGGCAATGAAAAAAGATCTAGAAACAATGTTACATCACCAATTTTCCACATCAACCAAATAATTAAAAGGTTACCAGCCATTACGTTGCTCATAGTAAAATCGACTCCAGTGGCAAAGAATTAACATGAAACTATTTTTGTGGTTGACATGGATAGGCTTTCTTGTAAAGGTTGATCCGACTGCCATGAGGCAGGCAACACTGGTTGCAGAGCGCAGCAGATATATCAAGAAATTATTATTTTGTTTTTGTAGATCTGTGAGTCTCATCAAGACAAAAAAAATGTTTCTTGCTCAAGAATTAACAGTCAAACATTAATATACTATATACACCTTTGCCATTTACACATTAGCATCAGGCCATTTATTACAAAACACTATACACTTTCCACTGCAGGCGGGTTATATATTGACAGCAATTTTCTGCAGATAAGACAGTGAATAGACTCTCCACTCCATGTTGATTAGGAATTGTTTTTCTAGTTTTAAATATTAGCCAGACACAGAGAAAGGTTGGACTGTAAGGCCTGGGTGCACAGTCTTGATGGAGCAAGTTAATTGATTATGTGCATTTCACTAATCTTTTGTCTGAGGTGGGGAAACTTCTTCACTGCCTTCGTAATTCTCTTGTGCTCGCTGGCCAGTTCGCTGAGGGTTGTTCATATGATGCGCTGCCGGGCCTGTGTACGGCTGTCCATGCACGTGGTTATTCTGCAAGAAAGCACAGACATTCTGAAGGGACATGAAACTTGCGGGCCGCTTCCTGACTAGTTAATTCTTTCCCCCTTTACGTTCCGGCTATCGAGAAGTTCCCTCAAGCACAGCGGCCTGCCTGTGTCGGAGTGTCTATATGACACACATCAAAGAGTCCTCATTCCTCTGCGCTGCACCCTCCACTTACCTTTTGGATTTACACAGAAGGCAAGCAAACTTTCAACTTGCAGAGATAAAATGAGTAGTTAAAATAGTAACCTACCAAATAATGGTTACATGCAAAGCAGAAGCGTCAAGAAAGGAAAAAATGGAGACAAGAAGAGGCTGTCTATGTGCTGCAGACACTGAACAGTGCACGTTTTACCAACACATTCTACCAGCTTGACCTTTTTTCCTAAGACAATGGAAAAAGCGAATCTAAATTTGTGCAGCATACTTCAATTTTTAAAAGGCAAAACCCTCCTGTTACAGAACTGAATGAAATCTAGACCAGTAGTTTTCTACAGGTGCTCTGCCCCAGTTTAAAAACTCATACACACATCTGGCAAATTAAAGTATCTCATCCATCTACTGTTTTGCAGTTTAACCAACTGTGGAGAAACCAGGAAGAGGGAAACTGTGTGTGTTAGTGAGAAATGCCATCTCTTGCAAGAAAGTGTGCACATCACACAGGTAATGGTGAGGTTACAGTATGTGTCTGAACTCAGGAGCTCAGAAAGGAGTGGGAAAATCTTCATAACTTACCAACTGCTCTGCTGAGAACACCAAGTAAGGAAAGCAAGATGGAGGGAAAACAGGTTTGGGCAGGAAAGGAAATTAAATTAGCAGATTTGGAGTATATAAAATGAACTGGAACAAAAAATGGCAACTAAGTGAGGGAATTACTCATTTAGCCAATTCAGAAAAAAAAACTGGTTATGATTTCTTTCAGATCTGGCTTTCCACTGGAAGACATTAACAAAGCAGCCATTTAACACAAAAACAGATCTAGATTTTTTATGTACTTAACATCTAGGGATTGCTGTTCAAAGCACAAGCTGTATGTAACAAAGCCATCTGCATTTTTCTGAAAGCGTTCCAATTACACAAACTGCAATTCAGGCCCTGAGGCTTGATTTTTGTCTTTAAAAACAAGAAAGCAACTCACAAAATACTACCACATGTCAGCAAATACAACAGAATCAAATTCAGTATGCACTACACCGTGACAACATCTGTCCATGTGCTCTTTCAATGGATGATTAGTCCCTGATCTGGTAACATTAAAATTCTCACCTGATGGTGAAACTGTTCCTGGCAAAATAGAGCTGTACCTTTATCTTTATTTCTTCCAAGTGTAATATTTGACTATAACATACTTCTGGATAAATGCCTATAATTTATGTTACCATAACTACTGAAAAAGCTAAGCTGGAACTCTGAATAAATGGTTCAACTCCGAGCTTTTACCTGTTGATACTGGGAACCAGGTGAATGGGGATACAGCGGGGCGTCTTCAGGTGGAGAAGACTCATGTTCATCTGGGGCATCAGGATCATCTGGTTCCTTAAGTTTGAAAAACACATTTGATTTACTTAGGTAAAACATATGATGATTACTCTGTCCAGGACCAATCCTACATGCAAGTGATTGTTTCAGATATGCTTGGAGGAAAATTCCATGCCACCATGTCACTCAGAGTTTGTATTATATTATATAAAAATTTGCAATATCAATGTGTTTTTTAAATAACAGGCCCACTGATAATCTTGTTTAAATGGTCAAGGTCAATTATATACTGTTAATTCGTTAGGTGATAGACATCTACAGGAACAGAAACAATAGTGTAAAAAACGCACAGGAGTAGGTAACAGAAACCAACAAAACCAGAAATGCTTGTTTATAAAGTGTGATACCTCTACAATGACCAGAAACTGCTGCCCAGGTTAATTATTTTGCAGAAACATTTACATTTTTCACTTGAAATCAAATCAGTTCTTTACCTCTTCCGGGCAGAGTTCACAAGCTTTTGCAAGAGTCATTCTAGCACTGTGCGACCTCTCTAGGAAGTAGCCATTGGATGTTTCATTGCTCTGTATTGGTGGAGACCAATTATTGTAGGTGTACTGTGGATTGCCAGTGTATGGTCTACGCTCAAGCTCATCTCCAAGCCACTCTACTGCCCAGGTCCATTTTCTCTTCAAATCGCCATTGCTCTGCAGATGGAAAATTAACAATTCAGAATTATTTTGTCTATTCCTCAAAATAGTAGTTTTCCCTTCCTGTACATTAGATATCAGAGAACAGACCACCAACACATATGCTGCTGTTTAGAAGATTCCCTGAAATATCCTTTTTTGCACAAAGAAAATGTAAAATGTGAAATGAAGCCTGCAGATTTGCAGCTGCATCATGAAATCACGCATGGAAGTTTAACCAAATTACTTTCAGTTCCATGTACTGAGAATCTGATAAAAGACCGTTCAAATGAGTTGTACTTGAATTTGTACTTTCATCAAGGTGATGAAAACTGAATAATGATGGTTAATTTTTTTTTGTGGTGGTGGTTTTTGTTTGTGTGCTTTTTAACACACAGAACTGGAAAAAAAGGCAGCAAGAAACAGAATGAAAGGTATCACCTGAAGGATCTGGTAGGCTACAGGACAGTTGCTGAAGAGCGCTACCATGCACTTTATACACTGGTAAGCTCTTTTCTGATAATGATTCTTAGAGCGCTGAATGGTGTCAAACAGTCCATCCCTGTCATCCGGGATTCCCTTAAGTGCATTGTGAATCCTACAAAAAAATAGAACAAAACCAAACCAAACACACCCCAAACTTCAACTGTTAAAGAGTTTTAGTATTTGAATCAAGGCTTCACTTACAATGCAACTGAGATAGCTCATATTCTGACTTCTGGCTCTACTAAAGAGGGTTAGTTTTCCGATTTTAAAAAAAAACAACTTGACACATCACATACATCACAATTTTAGCACATTTGGCAATATTTAAACTCTCTGAATGAGACGTATAAAACATGTAAGTATGATTAACTCTAATCACAGCACTCAACTTTAACTGGTTAATTTTTATTACTTATTTTTAAAATCAACTGCATTTATAAAATAGACCTGTCAACCCAGTAAGTCGTTACAGAATTGGAACAGAACACTTACTTAGGTTACAGTTATGCTTCTCAAAGATACTCTTTTAGATGGAATTCCTCCAAAGAGGAATGAATGGTACATATTTGTGCATGAGCATAAGGGAATTGGACATTCCCTGGAACTAAGCCCACTTTCTGTGCCTTCTCTTGAATAAGGAGTAGAGGAATCAATTTCCACCCTGAAACTGTGTGAGAACTGAGAATTGACATACTTTTGGCTTTGAAAAAGAAAGTCAGAGGAGGGCACAGAACCTACACTAACATCTCTAAGAGCTATACTCATCATAGAAGTAATTGCCCTCTTTCCTCATAGCCCTGGCAAGTAAGACTGCAGGCAGCCGGCAACCTAGGCTGCATCTGTAAAGTGATGATGAGCTTTACTCCAGCTGGTTTAACTTAATGGTGCTTGTAACACTTATTATCCCAAACTTGGCACTTGAGCTAATCACATTAAGAGAAGTTTGAGAGCAGGTCTGATGCTAAAGAACAGCAGCAGCCATCTCACAGTACAGGAATACAAAAAGCACCAAAGGATGCACACTAAGATCAGATGATGTTTCTTTTTATGTTGTATTTTTGTTTGCTTTTGAAAAAGACAAAGATCATTAAAACTGTGTGATTACCACAGCAAAACCAAGAACAGGACACAGACAAGACAAGTACTTCAAGCTACTGACAGATGTTGCAGCAAGAGATCCAAGGATGACTGCTCTGCTGAAGCCTAACAAAAATCCAATGAACACAGCCTTGAACAGGAAGTGACATACGTCTCCAGGTATCATGAGAGCTGTGCTACAGCATCCTAACTCCTTCATACCCCACTACTTCAAATGTAGCCCTATCCCAAACAACCACTTCCATCATTTCTCACCTTTATTTCCACACTAAAATATATTATTTTGTTTCACATCTACTAAAGCAAGCCCAGCCTTCAGTGTGCTGTGGATTTAAAGACATCTTATGGAACTGTTTGCTTATCAGGAAGAAAATATAAACAAACAGCATTATATATGGATTACACATACATATATATGTAAACATGAAAAGCCTGTGTGCAAAGGGTATTCTTGTCCTTTACCTAAGCTGCAATTCCTCTGAAGAAAATGAAGAAATCCCTCTAACTCAGACTTCATGTTTTGGAGCATGGTAAGCCAGACCACCATCTTCTCTTAGAGTACCTTCTAAAGCAAGGCTAGGGAACTGATAAAATCTTAAAAGTGCAGTCTGCTTCTACAGGTTAAGTACCTCAGTTCACTCCAATACCCTTACTGTACACAGCAAGTGTGCTCTTTCTCAAAGTATTTAAATAAAATGTCACATGAGATATGATTGCAAAAGATTTAGTAATTCCAGTACTACCTATATTCCTCTATTTTGAAACAGTGACATTTTAAAACATTGACAGGTAGCATGTGGATGGCATTTATTTTGTGTTACCTCACCTACTACTATTTCTATATAAGACCTCTGAAAAAATTACTATGTTCTCAAATAGTATCTGCAATAATTGCATTTTTTAAAATAACAACTTTCAAAAGCCTTACTCTGCAGACATATAAAAATCATGTTTGAAGCTGGATGAATATTTAATATATTGAAGTTAAATTTATCTTGAAATGGGAGCACACAGAGAAGATTTCCATAATAAATATGCTTGCCTCACAAGTTCACACTCCATGTGTGTCTTAGTATCACTGCAAATGACATGCTTCCTAGCAGAGCAGGCTATCACTGGACTCTGAATCCTGAATGAGATATTCTTAAGAACCAAACTAAGCACCTGACAGTAAATACCAATGAGTTTAGCCTAAATGGCACTTTCTTTTGTATGTGAAGAAATCGTCACTAAGTAGCAAATATCCCAATAGTAAGGAAGGTCAAGGTGAAAAATCGTAGATTTATCTCAAAAATGGACATAAAAGTGGAAAAAAATAATTCCTGTACTTTAATATATAATTAAAATAAACTTGAAAGAATTAGTGAAAGAACCACTGGGAGGATTAACTGTACAAAATATAACAGTCTTCAATTATAAAAGTTCAGGTAAATACTGACCTGTGAGTTTGCCAAGAGTCCTCAATTAATAGGATTTGCAAAAGCAGATCCAAATAAGGTCGAAGCTCATATGTATATGAATAGGCAACCTTAAAAAATAAAAACACAGAACATAAAGCAGTCCTTGAAGATTACCTGGTATAATACAAGAAAGTAAGCGATTTGAAGTTTACTATAATTTAAAGGGTATTTCAAGAGACAATACATACTTTTTTTTTTAAAAAAAGTTGATTGCATCATGTTTTTTTGAGGGTTGTTGCTTTTGTTTGTTTCTAATATAGTACGTTTTGTAAAGGACAAAATGTTTCCGCAATTGATCTGAAGCCCCAGGCATGAAACGCTGAAGAAGCTACCTTGAAAAATATCTTTAGAAAAGTCAAAGTACAAAATAGTACTTTTCACCAGTATTGCTAAACAGTACTCTCCAAGGTTATCCTAAAACGTGAAATATACAACTAGCAAAAGATCACTGATTTTTATTATGATCCTTTCAAGTGCAAAACAAAATGACAAGCAAATGTGACATTTACATGGAAAAAAAATGGGTGAGTATAAAAATGAGCTAACAGAAGTAAAAAATTTAATTTGGAGGAGAAAAATTTTACTAACCATACAGAGATTACAAAGGAAAAACAACAGAGTTCCAAAGACTCTTTCCTGAGACTGAAGACAAATATGTTCTGCAGATTTGTGAAAACAAATCTTACAAATCTAACTTTCCATGCAATGTATGAAGCTCTTTTACGGATAATGTCAGAAAAGCTTAAAAAAACGCTCTTGCAATACATAGAGACCACCTTGGTCTACTTACTTTCTATCCTTAACATAGCATTCCTACCTCCTAAGAGGTCAATTGCTTTCCTAATCTCATAAAAGGACTTCTCACAGCAATCCAACATGATGTATAAACCTAAAAGTGTAAATACTGACAGAGGATGCTATCTTAAGGAAAGTTTATCAAGCACCTGTTCAGTATTTAATACAACATTCCTATATATAAATAAAGAATCTGGCACCATACACAATTATAGTCCCATCCTTCTCCTAGCTTTTTGTCTTTACCTGCCAAAGAAGTTCACTGAGGACAGTGGAAGAGAACTGAGGATTCTCCCAACAGCAGAAACGAAGCAACTTGATGGTCTCTTCAGAGTTGCTGCAATCTTCAATAATTTTCTTCACATAACTGGTTCTCACAAACAAGATGTCTGCTACGTTCTGCTGAAGTGCCATTATAGGCTGAGATAAATTAGGATCACCGTAAGGGTTGGCAAGTGGAGGATTACCTAGAACGAAGTTATTACAGATTAAAAGGTGCTGAAGTACTTTCAAGTGTAGAGACAAAGAAATATGAATTGGTGTAACTCATCAAAAAACAACAGATGGAGAGAAAACCAACCCCCCCCCCGAACAGTTTAAAATTATTTAAAATCAAAAATACTATGGTATGAAATAACTATGTTTTCTGATTGTAAAGCTTGACACTTGCTGCCTGAGAAAGCTACTTCTCCATTTCAGATAAGATTACACAGTGACAATCAAAGCAGAACAGCTGGAAACATGTTCATATGCAAGAGAAATTACCAAGTTTCCTCAGCAAAATCCTCTTTATCTCCTGAATTTATCTGCTTCACTGCTTGTGTAACACAGCCCAAATCTATGACATTTCAGGACACTAGATTTTTTTACTACGCAATGAGAAAGTGTTCAGAAGAATACTTATGTCAGAACAATCTTGTCTGAATCTCTACAGTGTAGAGAGAAGTAACACACTCCTGAAAGAATAAAAACTTATGTATCTTATTTAGCCAGCTTCACTTTGTGCAAGGGAAGACTGTTGATTTGCTCCTCATGTTTCCAAATTTAACAGTGTTTTGAGTTATCTGAAGATGCCCAGAAGTCCAAAGGAGAACTTTTCTAGCTTAACATGCTGAAGTGAAAATAACTTTACTCTGCAAATAATAATAATTAGTAGTAAGAGTCATGTTCATACAAAGTAATTTTTTTTAGTACAACATTATACATATAGCAAATATACAATTATTTTTCATAGGTAAAATATCATTTCAGTGTAAGCCTCAAATAATGCACTGGGAACAAAACCAAATAAAAATTGCCAAATGGTTCTGAAGCTTATAATAGCACAGTAAAATTTTCAGTTCATTAATCTTACTACAGCACATTCTAGTCTATTGACTTTATAGCCTGACACATCAAGCTGTAATGAGTTTGCCATTAAATAGCTTCTCTACAAATTCCTAATTAGGTTTCCTAAAATATGCTTAATAGAATGTGTACATATAAAGGCTATAAAGTCCACATAGCCCAATATTCTGTCACCATTACTCAAGAATAACTGCACTGTATTCAACCATGGGAGATATTAACGATTTATACTGTGGTTGACCAATATTTAGCTGATTCTTTGCCTTTTATAAGTTAAAGTGCTGTCTTTTGTTTGTCATCTTGACTGTGAACAAACACCATTTTCAAAAGCTATCCGCAACAATGCAAAATCTCTTTATTGATAAGCAGCATTAGCTATTTCAGAGCCTACTACAGTATTTTTCCTGTACAGATTACTTTTGTACTGGTAACATGAAAGCAGACTATTCTTTTATTGCCTACTCAGAATCAAAAGATATTTATGCAGCTCTTTAAAATGAGCTTAAGCTATTCTACAACCATTACTATTTTGTAATCCACAAACTACTTCTCAATTTTTTCCTGTATCTTTAAGGAATAAGCCAAGAAGTATAAAATACAGAACAGACACCTGTGATGCACTTTTTAGTACAGCAAATCAGTTTTGCTTACAACAAAAAGACTTCCATCTTCAAATAAAAGCAGTTGCTGAAGATAAAAGGCAAGCATTTTTCTAGCTCATCCATTTTACACATAATAGCTAAATATGCACAAAAGGCATTTACTGACATATACAATTAATCTAAGGAAAACTTGAAATTCACTATACCATTGATAGAAGACTGCATCCGTGAGGACACGTTGCAACAACGGATCAGTTGTGACACAACAGTGTACAGCTTCCCCAGTTCAGCATACTGGTATTTAATTGGAGGGCCTGGACCTTCATCCAGAGCCACAAGCATGAAGGTTGCAGGAACATTTAGTTTCAGAAGTTGTGTCTTCTCTGCTACGCCTTCAAAGGGATAATAATAATAACAATAATAAAATCTTTTTGTCTGGCAGCGACAATACTTTTTTGTTTTTAAAAGAAAAGTAACTGCATTTTAAGTGATTCTAACTTTTCAGTTGCTGGGTCTTATAACCACTGTTTATGCTGAGGGAAAAAAATAAAGTCAGTAAAGATGCATAAGAAAATTATGTTCAGCTGATAAATCACATTGAAGAAGATTTGAAAAGGACTAATTTCTCAAGAGTGCTCATTAGCACTTAAAGTCAACTATCATCTGAGTTAATAGCAAAGCCTCAAGTAAGACTTTTGAACAAAGACTGAGCCTCTTTATTCTGAGGCCCAGGGCAGGATGAATATCCTCCCCACAGTATGTTTCGTCATTTTTCCATTGCATCCTAGCTACATAATTTAGAAAATTAAGACATTTCCAACCGTGATATACGATTCAGTAAGTGCAAGTTAGATTGACAAAATCAATTTAAGAAAAAACAGAATGATAAAGCCTAAAAACCAACCCACCAAAAAATTCTAACATACAGCTATTTCAGCTGCAAGAATACCTTGCACATACTACACAAGTACTTACCAGAAAATTCAGTATGTACCTTCTGGTCTGGAATTCTGTTTCGCAGTTTGGTTAAGTCATGATTTTTCATGCATTTCCAAGATTTTTCTTATTCTGAACTACCACTGGACCTTACCTACAATCTTTCTTGTAAGAAGGAAGGAATCCAGACTGCATCTTATTAGAGCTCTTTTTTAGTATCTTTCTGGTTATGTTAGATAGTTTTGTAGTTACATCCTTTGTAGAACTATCTCCCACTTGCACTGATGTGAACAATGTATTATTTGATTTCTCAAAATGTCAGATGACAATGTTTTTCACGGAACTTGAGGTGCTGCAGGAATGATGTATTGTGGCTTTTGCTAAACACTCTACCTCCATAAAGAAACTTCAGTTAACACTAGTAAGACAACACTTAATATTGGGGTCCCAACAGAACCCAGCCCGTGGCTGCAAGGAGAGGAGGCTGCGGGAGAGCCACTCCACTGCTCTGGGAACTCATTTCGGCCTTTGTTCAGGTGAAGGGGGGGCTAACCTGCTCGGGGGCTCCTACAGAGGAGAGGAAGGGCACAGGTTGCCTACCTGCCTGAAGCGACC